TGGTGAGCGCCCATAATCCCAGCTACTCAGGAGGCTGAGGCAGGAGAATCGTTTGAACCCGGGAGGTGGAGGTTGCAGTGAGCTGAGATCATGCCACTGTACTCCAGCCTGGGCAACAAGAGCAAGACTCTGTCCAAAAAAAAAAAAAAGTACACTTACACTAAGTGCACAGCTTAATGATGTTTTACATCAAGATGTATAACATTTCCAGCCCCTTCAAAGGCTCCCCCCAGGCACCTTCCTAGTCTATATACCCCTACTCCAGAGGTAACCAAGGCAACCACTATGCTGACTTTTGTAAACATTGATTAGTTTTCCCTGAGCTTGAACTTCATATAAATGGATTCAAGTATTAATGTGTATTTTATGACTGGCTTCTTTCAGGCAACCAGTAGCCATGAGATTCACACAGCTTGTCACAAGAGTCAGCAGTTTGTTATTTTTCATGACTGTGTAGTATTCTATTATATGAATAACCCATGATATGGCTTTGCCTATTGATGGGCATTTAGATAGTTTCCCCTTTTTGGTTGTTATGAAGACTGCAGCTATGCACATTTGTGTACATGTCTTTTGTGGACATACACCCTTTCAGTGTGTGTCACTGAAATTTTTAGAGCTAAAAGTATCCTGTTCAATACCCTCACATTAAGTGGGCTAGTGGCTGATGTGAGATTAAAGCTCAGAATTCCTTCCTCGGGACCCGGCTTCTCCAGCTCTCCATGCTGCCTTCCAGGTAGTTCAATCACAACATGGTGGAAGATAAAGTCTTCCCAGCAGCTTAGCACATTTAGGGCATAATAACCAGTATCTCAGCAACTTACCAAAACCTATTCCTTTCCCGGCTATATATGCCATGAAAAATATTCTACAAACCCCAATCTCTAAATCCTTAAAAGTTATTCAACCCTCCCTACCCTCAGCACCCAGTGGGTACAATTAACACATACATGAAAGATGCCCTGGATTCAGTCAAATTTCATTGATTCAAATTTCACTGAATTGGACCAAAATGATTCACAATGATTCAAAGCTTTGGAAAGGTGTTTCCTTTTCTTAATATACTTTCTACAGAGAGGGCACAGTACACATGAAATCAAAGACAAATGTTTACAATATAGAACCTGTAGGCACTGTGAAATATCGTTCTTTCATACAATCTATGTGTTAACTATTAATTATCAGCGCTCACAGTTTGAAGTCTACCAACCCATCTGCTTCTCAGAGTAAGGACTTAAAATTCCAAAATGATACATGCAACAAAGCCTGGAAAAGTTGGTGAGCAATGACCCTATCTTTGCTATACTGTTTATACATTAAATAATATTAAAATTATTATCTCTGCAAATGAGAAGTAAAAGCACCCCATTTAAACACAGCAAGAGTGAAAAGGAAGCCTCAGAGGTCACTGCTGCTCATTAGTGTCTCAGGTTTTCTTCTGGAGTTGTTCTGTCCACAGAGAACAGGTGTGAACTCATCTTTTTTGTTTTGCTCTAAATAACATTTTAAAGAAACAATCCATACTTCAGGCTGGCCTTTCTCCAATTAGTTCTACTCTAGTGCCTGACAAAATACTTAGTGAAATATCTCAGGCATGGTATTCGATTGCTGCAGGCTTTAAAATATCTCTTCAAAGGATAATCTGCGGCCTGTGGGTGATGGGCAGGCTTCTGGAAGCCCCAGGCATCCTTCCTTAAACAGGTGCAGTGATCAATGACACCAGGAAGAGCCCTAACAAGCCAGGGCCTCCTGCATTCAAGGCTGCTCACCTTTATGGTCCTTCAAGCAAACTCACCTCATTAATGATGATCCTGCTGGCCATCCGTAGTCGGGTCCTGGGTCCAAACTTATTGGTGATCATGATTCGCAAGCCAGCTTCAGGGAAGGTGAACTTGGGAGGGCTGGAGCTCATGATCTCGTCCACCATCACCACGGGGTTCTTGCCATACTGTGGCTTCTCCTTCACTATTGAGCACAACACCGTGATTAGTGCTGATCTCTCTGAGGACAACACCCAAGTGCTGGGGCACTGACTTCCCCTTGCCTTGTGAGCTGCCCTAGGCTGTGGTCCTGGCAGCTGGCAGCCACCTGGAAGTCTGGATGCCTGGCTTCAACTCCTCATGTCAGGCAAAGTGGATCACTGGCTTTGAAACACCTGCTGACCTAGTGTGTGAAGCCCAGTGGTTCCCCTTGCTCCAGGACCACTCATGGGCAACCGATGCTCTTCTCCCCTCTTTTCCGGGACCCAGTCTTGGCTAATTACAAGGGTCTTTCAGTTCCTTATCTAAGCCTTACCAGGGCAGCCAACCTACAATACAGACAGGGGCCTACCACTTTTCACCCACGACTATGAGGGGACCTCTCTTTCCCCCGTTTACAGAGGCTCCGATGAAATTTTGCAAATTGACAAGGGTCCCCGGGGTGGAAAATGTTGCAGAGCAGCGGGCACTGGCTCTGAACTTCCTACAAGGCCACCTGCTCTGTCTGCAGGAGAGGATGCTTGTAACTTTGTTCTGTACAGGGCAAGTAGTGAGGTCAAAGATTTAGATCATGGGATCTAGACAGGCAACTGAGACCCAGGAGAGGAGCCTGCTTGTTTGAGGGTGCACGGTGAGCTGCTGGCTGAGCCCAGTGACTATAAACCCTGACACCCTCCGGAGGGAGGCTGGTCTCTCTGACCCTTTCCTTCCCCTCACAATGGGGAGGAACAAAACTCCCTGTCCCCAGACCTCTTCCTTGCCATCTTCATAAACCTGCACCGTGCTGGTATCCTTGGGAATTTAACATTTGACTCCAGATCCCTAGGAGGTCTAGTTATAAAACCGCTCATGAACACAGCATGCAGAAGCAGGCAGAGTGTTCCCCTCCAAAGGGCTATAAAAATGGATACGACTATCCCTCTGCACTGGTTACCAGCTCCCGGTGTGTCCTTTATGGGTCATGGGGTAACCAGGGAATAGGTCCGGAGAGCAAACCCGTGCAAGAGTTAATAGCACAAAAATGCAGAAATGCACACCAGACACACACACACTCCTCACCAAACAGGCAGCAAGGCTCAGCAGACAGGAGGCGTGTGGGTTAGAAAACAAAGCCAGGAGAACATGCATTCGTCAGAGACGGATGCTAACCTCTAACAGGCACGCGGCGCATCGGTGGGCCGGGCGTATGGTTGTTTGTTTTGCTTGAAATGCAGGTGTTATCGCGTGGACGAAAGCTGACTACTTACAATTTAGAAGAGGAGGAGAGTTAAGGAGACAAAGGCCAACAGAGACTGCCAGAGACGATTAGCGTGCGGTGGATGCCGAGAGTCTGGGGCAGCACTCTTGGTGGTGGCGAAGATGCCAGGGGTTATGTGCTGGAGGGTGTTAGTAGCGGGCTCCTTCTATGGGAGTTTCAATCCTCGGGGCCTCTGGCCTTCAGGACGGCTCCTGTCCTGGCTGATTCGATGGCTCTGCTTCCACTTTGAGAAGCAGGAGCCCCCCGACAGCTCATGCCCTTAGCCCCTCACTGCTGCATAAAAGCTCGAATCCCTCCCTGCTCAGAAGCCTCCATCCCAGAGGGAGGTGGAACCCACAGAAACCGCAGGCTTCAGGCTCCATCCTACAGAACCCGCCCCATGCCAGGTACTGCTTGGGGAACAAGTGGGCTCAGAAGGAGGGAGCCTGGAGTCTGTGAGACAAGAGTCAGGCCTCCCCCTTCTCCAATTCCAGGAGTCCAGGCCTGCACCCCCAATTCCTTCCACACTCTCTAGGCAGTTTTCTCCCTTGGCCCTTATCTAAATGCATTCACTTTGATAAAAGCTACGGGAAGATGGAATTCTCCTTCCTTCCCCAGGATGCCTGGCTACCAGGACACCTTGTCCTGGTGCCCCCGACCAACGACAGAACAAGGGTGTGTGCCCATGCCCAGGGTGGCTGCCCAGAAAAGAACTCAATGACAGCACATTCTCCCAGCTGTTCAGCCCAAGGTCAGGCATCACCCCCAACTCTCCCCACTATAAACCAAGGCTGTGCCCAGCGCTGGGGCAGCCTGGAGGGGTCCACAGTGCGCCTCTCAGGCGAGGCTGGCAGGCAGGTGGCCCAGGCTGTGTTCCAGGCCACCTGAGAAGCACCAGGAGGCTGCTTGGGTGAGCTGAGCCACACAGCCTTTAAGAACGTCTCAGTACTCAAAGGCCTTTTATCAGTGTGATGGGGAAAAAGCTTTCTCCCCACTTTTCCCGTCAAGGAGTTGGAGGATAAAACTTCGGGTTTTCTGTGGGAAACACAAAAACTGAGAACAGCTCGCTCGGGCCTGAGAGAGTGTGTGCTCTTGAGAGAATCTCCCAGGCAGCAGCACCCTGTGCATTCCTTCGGGTGGGGTGGCCACATGGCGACCTGCCTGGAGCTGGGCACAGGGAGAGAAACTCCGATGTCATCTCCAGCTAAGAGTCCATGACACCGCCCTTAGGAAAGGCCCCAAAGCCTTGGCCTCCCCAGTCCCGCCCGGGGTGTTACTGGGGGCTCCTTCCTCCTGCTTCAGTTGAGTCTACGCAGGGGACAGTGCAGAGCAGTGACTCACACATGGCCCTCTGGGAGCCTCTTATGAGAGGGGCAGTAAAAAGTGGTGTGAAGAAATCCCCACGTCTGCCTCTCCAGGTCTCCCCTTTCTCCAATTCCAGATGTCCAGGCCCACACCCCACTTCCCTTCACACTCTCTGAGGACTTTCTCCCTGGGCCCTTATCCAAATACATTCCCTCTGATAAAAGCTGCAGGAAGATGGGATTCTGCCTCCTTCCCCAGTGCTTGGGGGCAGTCCCGTGTCCAATCTTCCAGTTTTCCAGAAAATGTCCTGGACTTAAAGAGATTTGGGAGGAAATAAACTTGCAAGGAAGTGCTACTGTCACAGGCACAGAGTGGCGGAGACAGTCACAGCAGTGCCAGAAAAGGCACCGTGTGGGCAGTGGCCTCTGGGAGCCTGGGTTGCCCTGAGAAGCTGAGGAGCTGAGGCCCCCATGCTGCGAATGAGAAGTGCTTCCTGCAGGGTCCTGGGGGGTCTCCTGGGTTGGCTACAGGGTGGTAGGCGGCTCTTGGGTGGGCATCTCCCACCAAGCTGAGTGACTCAGCACACAGTACTTCTCTTCCTCGCCACGAAGGCCCAGAGGACCCAGGAGCACCATATATACGACAGGGCAGCAACCAGCCTCTGTCCTGCCAGCCTGTGTGTGGGGACCACCTTGGGGCCACTACGCCCATAGAGTTAAAATCCGACATAGCAGCCCACATGGCTCCTTCCCCTTCTGAGGTTGTCCTGGAAACAGGCTTCCCCTGGGGTAGCCTGCTCGGCATTTACGAAACTCGACACATGAACCAAACTCCACGCTCATCAGCTCCTCAGCTTTGCCCTTTGTGGGTGGGCCTCCGCACCCAGGCTGCGGCCTGGACCGCACCCCGCTGCCCTAGCAGGCTTCCTCCTTCTATGCGGAGAGACTCCTCCCTCTTGGGGGTTGCCTGAGACAGGGCAGAACAGACTCCCAGAATGCACATGGGAGGAAGCCATGCCCTCATCGGCCCCAGGAAGATGACTGGAGAAGGGGCCCAGAAATACAGCTTCCACCCCCAGATGTCCCAGACACATCTGAGACCACCTGGTCCCACCAGTGACATCACAAAAGAGTTCACCTGATTAGCCCCAGGCCATGGAGAATGGGGGGGGAAAGAGCCCCCAGACACCAGTGCAAGGCGCTCACCTGGTGAAGGCCTTGCCCAACACCGAGGGTGGAGCTTAGACCTGTTTTTCCATACTGATTGCAAGAACCGGCCCAGGCTCTGCCACTGGTCTGGGCTAGAGTGAACGCTCTCTCCTTCCCGGCAGCTGCTTCCACAGAGGGAGCCACCTGGTCACTGGCCTTGGATTATTCAGGTTTCCAAAGAGGCCGTCAGTCAGGCGCAGATGATTCAGAGAATTCGGTAAGACATGACAGGAGATGGCTCTGGAGGCCCAGACCCCCAGTTCCCAGACAAGAAGGCCAAAGAGCTGCGGATGAGACAAGGTTGCTGCCCCAGGGGAAGGGGCTCCCTGGTGGGGCTCTCTGAGGCTGGCCTGGGGATGCCTGCTCAGCTTCGTGTCTGCCTTTTACTGGCCTTGTTCTTCCTCCGGGCGACAGTTCCCAGCCTGAGAACGGGTGCTTTGTCCAGAGCCCTTCTCCATCCAGGACTGGGCCTGGCATTTGAGAAACTGTAGGGAGGCCCAGGCTGGCTCTGCCGCCCCAGCTCCTCAGCTTCCTGTCGTGGGCCCGCACATGGGTCAGGGACCCCACGGCATTCTGAAGAGCCAAACAGGCCTTGTGCCTTCCCCAGAAGGCGTGGGAAAGCTCCCAGAAACGTGGCTGTGGTTTTTCTCTTTCCTGCTGTACTTCCCTCTACCCCTGCCCCACCTAAGCAAAACCCCATCTCCCATACTGACTCTCGCTCCTCACTTAGGGCACCTGCGGTCAAAGGGAAGAGAGTGACAATTTAGAGGGGGGACATTGTGAGAGGCTGTGTGTGTGTGTGTGTGTGTGTGTACACAAAAGAGAAGGAGAGAGTGGCTTCCAGGACACATTTCTGCCCACTCCTGTCTGCTCAGCCTTACCTTGCCTCAGCAATGGCACGGAAGGGTCATCATAGCTACCGTCATAGAAATCATTACCAGCCTCCAGCTCACTGTTGACCGGGTTGCCGTTTGCAATGCTCTTTTGTTTGATTGTGAAAAAGGCTTGCATCTTCACATTGTACCTGGAAGTGAGGGAGGCAGGAGGTCAGGGCAGTGGAGAGGATTCCCACGGACTGGGCAGTGGGGGATCACACCCCATCCCTGCGCGTAGTCAGCACAGAGCAGGAGTGGCGGGTGGCAGGGGAGGTGTGGAGCCTCGGCTTTTCAACCGGGCTGACAGTTTCCTGACAGGGACCTGGGAGCGCTGTGTTGTCTGGAGGCACCTGCTCCTATTGAGCTGGTGGTGGGCTTCCCGGGGGCATGAGAAACCTTTCAGCCAAGAAGATGACTGAGGCTTACTTAATGGAGCCTGTCCTAATAAAGGAAGCTCAACCTCGCCTCTGAGCAGGCTCGCAGGGGGCATTACCAGACCTGTCCTGTCTCCCCCAGCAGCAGATCTTGCTCCCAGGATGCTCACGGGCACCCCCTGCACCACTCACAGCCAGCACTGCCATCACCCCTGAGGGAAGAGTCTCTCCATCTCAAAGAACCTCAGGCGGGCTCCTCACTGAAAGGCACTCAGATTGGAGATCATTTAAGGATAATGCTCTTGCAGTCTGACAGTTTATCACCCATTTTTATAAAACGTTATAAATGTTTTATATAAATGTGGGATTTATATCCTCATAAAACTCAGAGTGTTGTCTTTTTAATTACATATCCAGGTACGAGGAGGAAGATAAACCTGAACGTGGCTCAGCTCATGAGTAGGGGTGTGTGTGTGTGTGTGTGTGTGTGTGGTGGGAAAAAAATATATGTCATAAAATTGACCATTCTAACTACTTTCCCTTTTTAAGTGCACAATACAGTGGCGTTAATTACATTCGCATTGTTCTACAACCATCAGCACGGTTCCCAAAACATTTGTATCATCCCAAACAACAACACTGTTCCCACTAATCATTAATTCCTCCTTCTTTGCTCCCCAGCCGCCTGCACTGACCTCTGATCCACCTCTATGAATGTGGCTCTTCTAGATCCCTCATGTAAGTGCAATCAGACAATATTTGTCCTTTTGTGACTGGCTTCGTCCACTGAGCATAATGTTTTCCAGGTTCATCCATGTTGTAGCCTGTCAGAACGTTATTCCTTTTTTCTGGCTGCATAGTATTCCTCATGGGTAGTTTTGAGATGGTTCTGACCTGGGTAGCTTCTGGAGGGGCTCAAGGTTGCACAGCCTGAGTTTCCATCCTCAGTACTATCAGTGGCTGCAGTTGTGCAAAGCACTGGCCCAGAGAAGTGGCACTTTATGAAGCCTGGGGCAGAGGTTAATCTGCCTGGCTTTTTGAAAAGAGTGGTATTAAATTATCAGAAGGCTTCTAGAGATAGCACAAGTGAGTGGTTACCCTGGGGCATGGAGAAGCTGCCCAGAGCAGGGCAGGAAGGAGGTCCTTGCATGCTACTTGTTTGGGGAGCAGCCCTGTGGTCCACACATCAGCCACCTGCGTGATTCCCCTGGCCTCAGTGTGGACGGCACCCCCCGAACAGCATCTAACACCCCTCCCCTACTCCAGCTGTCCCCCAGCAGGGCGTCTCCCAGAGAGCTGGGGCTGGCCTAAAAGGACGAAGATCTGACAGATGTTTTTCTCCCTGCTGTCACAAAAGGCTACAGCAAGCAGCGGGGCAAGGCGTCGGCAGCCCCGGGAAGGAGAAAGGGCACTTACTTCATGATCAGAATATAAAACACATACAAGATGATGAGCACCAGGCCTTCCCACCTCAAAGAGAGAAAGGAGATTGCGGTTAGAGCTCGGGGCCTGGGGCAGGTGAAGGCTGGGACTGAGGGGTCCAGGAGTGGAGGAGGGCGGGATGTCTTTACCTCCCCCGCCCCTAGTGCCGGGCCCAGAACCTGGGCATGTGGGAGAGATCCCCCAGCCTGTGGCTGTCTTGCCACCAGCAGCCCTTTTGATGATCAAGCAAGAAAAGCTGAGAGGTCTCTTCTCAACTATAGAGGTCTGCAGGAGAGAGGTGGGGTTCCCCCAGCTTCCTAGAAAAGGGAGGGACTAGGGCCACCACGTCCCAGGATTCATGGAGGCTAGTGGCCTGAAGTCATGCAAACTCGACCCTGAGAGACCCTGTGGTCACCCAAGATTCTGGGCAGGAGCCAGAGAAGCTGTGGGTGTGGGTGGAAAGGGGCCCAAGTCCTGGAAGTAGGGCCTGAGAGCTGACTGAATATGCGGCAGGTGGCACAGGAGCCTCCCGGGCCTTATGCTGCGCATGGAAGGGTTGGGGTCTTCCTGGGATGCACCATTACTACCCTCTGGTGCACCCCACCCAATCCCACTAGCAGTGGGGATTTTCGTAGCTCTGACCATAAGCCCCTGGCAGAGCACACAAGCTTTAGCTTGTTCATCCACTTGACATGTATAAACCAAAGCCCATTATGTGCCCAGCATGGGCTACAGTTGTTTTGGGAGCTCTTCCTTTGCTGACCTCCAGATCATGGAACCACTGCCATCCCAACCCTGTCTACAGATGACAAAAATGAGACCCAGGAGTTCAGAGGCTTTCCTGGGGCCAGACAGCAGGTTAGGGGCCAGGATAGGACCAGAACCAGGTTTCTGGGGGCCCATAGCACACAGCTGCTCAGGGCAGGTAGCTGATGTCCTCAGCCTGATTGTCTGATTCTATTTCCATAAATAATCATACAGGATGCAGCCTGTAATCCAGACACTTTGGGAGGCCAAGGCAGGTGGATCACTTGAGCCCAGGAGTTCAAGACCAGCCTGGCCAACATGGTGAAACCTCATCTCTACAAAAAATTAAAAAATTAGCCAGGTGTGGTGGCATGCACCTGTAGTCCCAGCCACTTGGGAGGCTGAGGCACATGAATCACTTGAATCCAGGAGGCAGAGGTTGCAGTGAGCCAAGATGGCACCACTGCACTCTAGCCTGGGCAACAGAGTAAGACTGGATCTCGGAAAAAAAAAAAAAAAAAAAAAATCATACAGGATACATGCAGATTCTGAATTGTTGGCAATCAAAAGAAAATGTTTATGAGTTATGAACGTCAGATGCATTCCCATGCTATCAAATAGAATGGAAACATCAACCTGTTCCTCAGAAGTTTGTGATTTATGTATCTGTTTTGGTGGATGGGGTCTCACTATGTTGCTCAGTCTGGTCTCAAACTCCTGGGTTCAAGCCATCCTCCCACCTCAGCCTCCTTAGTAGCTGAAATTACAGGTGTGAGCCACCATGCTGGGTTATGTATCTTAGTTAAGAAATTAATTCCTACCTTAGTGTCTTAAAGATAAGTCTCTATATTTTCTTTTGACATTTTCTAAAAAGTCTCATTTTTACAGTAATATCTTCAAATCACCTGGAGTTTACTTTTGTATAAGGTGTGAGGTAGGGATCTGATGTTGTATTGTTCTGTGTGGATTCCCAGTTGTCCCTGCAGCATTCAAGACTCTATTCCTAACTCACTGCCTTATCATGACATCTCTGCAATGTCCCCCATTCCAGAAATAGGCCCATTAATGCATTCCATATTGGCCTATGCTTATCCCTTTGCAAAATACCATACTGTTTTCAGAATTTTAACTTTATAACACATCGTGACACCTAGCAGGACAGGACTATTAAGGGAAACAGTTTTTTGCACTTTGACAGGATAAAGAAAGGCATGATTGCTTAGAATGATATCTTTTTCTACTTTCACAAGTTGATAAGCTTAAGTTTATGAAAATAATGTTTAAAAAGATTCAGGGAACCCAACAAACAAGGATACTGGAAACAACAACAAAAAAGAACAATGAAAAATACACTTGAAAAACTTACCACACAATTTGTTCATCATATATGAACTGTAAGGCAAAAGAAACAGATTTGAGGTGGGTGGGACATATTTATTTCCAAACAAGAACAAGCACAGACACCCAGGCACCCAGAGCCAACGTATACCGGCCTTGTTATATGTGTTATGGATCCATTTCTGAGCTGCTCACCTACAGGCCTTTCCTTAGTGTAGCCTAGGCCAGCAGTGTACTGTATTACATAGCCCCAGCTTAGCACAGCCACCCTCAGAGATATGTCCTGTGCTTTATAACAGTCCAAGTAGCTACTAGGGGCTAACCTGGCAGAAGCCTCCCCTCATTCATGGAACAGAATTGCTATAATCAAGAAATCTCAAAGACTGAAAGATAGCTTGTGTGTGCATGGTGTTTGTGTGTGTATGGGGTATGCATGTGTATATGTGGTGTGCAAGTGTGTGTTGGAGGGTGTATCTTTTTTTTGTTTTTGAGACATAGTCTCGCTCTGTCACCTAGGCTGAAGTGCAGTGGCGTGATTTTGGCTCACTGCAACCTCCGTCTCCCAGGTTCAAGCAATTCTCCTGCCTCAGGCTCTCAAGTAGCTGGAATTACAGGCATGCACCGCCAAACTCGGCTAATTTTTGTACTTTTAGTAGAGACAAGGTTTTACCATGTTGGCCAGGCTGGTCTCAAATTCTTGACCTCAAGTGATCAGCCGGCCTCGGCCTTCCAAAGTGCTGGGATTACAGGCATGAGCCACCACACCCGGCCTTCACTTCATTTTTGTAAATCAAAGAATTTTTACATCATTTTAGTGAATCCTTAATTTTCTAATAAGGTAACTGTCATGCAAATTAAGGAATGATTATACTTTGCTCTGTTTGGAATTTTATCAGGAGTCGTTCATTATTGTGGAAAATCACATCATCAACATCGGCACCACCCACGGGGTTTAGGAGAGAGCCCAACACTTGGGCATCAGTCTGCATTTGTACTAGACGGTCTCAGAGATTGTTTGTGTAGGAGGGAACCAATCCCTTCATTGGCTCTCCTGGCTTCTTCATGCCAAACCATTTACATACTGAAAGATGTATTCTTTTATTATAAATTACATTTATTTCTCCTTTATATTATAGTTAGGGCATATGTTGACCTGTTTGAAATCGTGTATCCGTAGATTGTTTCATCTGTAGAATCATCTCAGACATCTACTTTTTGGAGGGTGTGGTAGGCAGCCTGTAGGGGGTCCCCATGCTCCCACTGAATCACATTCATGCTTCCCTAGCACGTGGGCTGCACCTGGTGACTTGCTTCTAACAAACAGAATACAGCACATGTGGCAGGTATCACTCCCGAAAGCAGGTTAGGAAAAGGCTGTGGCTTCCATCTTGGTGCCTCTGGCCCTTGCTCTGAGGGAAGCCCGCAACCCAGCTGAGAGCTGCCCTGTGGAACAGCCAGCAGCCCAAGGCCTGCCCACAGCCACATGAGTGACCCTGCAAGAGCAGCCCCGCCCACCAAGCTCTGTGATGATGCTACCCTGGCTAATGCCTTAACCGCAGCCTAGCAGAGGACCTGGCCTAGAGGACCCAGCTATACCATTTCTGACTGGTTTCCCACAGAAAGTGGGAGATAATAAATCTTTGTCTTAAACTGCTGAGTTTTGGGGAAATTTGTTATGCAGCAATAGGGCACTAATACAGGGGACACGACTGTCTATATAAAGTTCACTCTAGGTCTGGTTGAGAGCTGTCCCTCAGAGGCACATTCCACCCCTGAAGTTTGAGTGTGCCCTGTGTACATGTCCCTTTCCTCCACTTCAAAATTCTTTTGTTTTAAAATGCTCCCCTGTGGATGACATGCTCCTTGGCTATATCTGGCTGTGCCATCCACCTCACTATCAAGTGCCATGATGTCACCCCAGCCCTTGGGGCCCATGTGGGACACTCCACATCACTCCAACAGGTCCAGGGCCCCCTTGTGAGCTCCTCTCCTCTTCTTCCTCTCCTCCTGGCTCCTCTCTTGCTCCCAGTTGCTCCCTCTGCCTGCCCTGAGCTGGCCTGCTCCCTCTCCCACCCTGTGGGCAGCAGAGCCAGAAACTCTGCATTTTAAAACCAAGCCCACCAAAGAGTAGCCAGGGCCTACATGGGGAGCAAAAGGGCCCCAGATGAGAAAAGTGCCCTAGCTGAACCGCACGGGCTGTGGGACGTCTGCTTCTGAGGCCTTTGTGTCTTCAAGATGGCCCCTGGATTCGCTCCACAACCAAGGTGCGGGGTCTGAGGTTTTGGGGAAAGGGAGGCACAGTGCTGGGGGTGGCATAGTGCGGGAGGTGGGGGGCTGGTCATTGTGACCACAGTGAGTGGCTGGCACACCCCACTACTGGGTGCTGTGAGTCCTCTCTGGTCCCAGTGCCAAGGCAGAGATGGGCAGGGGTCCCGTGCTTTTGCAGGGTCCTGGCCAACCTGACCTTGGGGGTGGGGGGGGCGACTCACCACGATGAGCACGATGACAGAGATGGTGTAGTACACGGAGTCTCGGCACACGGCCCACCACGTCAGACGGACCACCTGCCGGCAGAGCCCCGTTGGCTGCTATGAGCAGGGGGATGAGGAGGGGGTGCAACTGCCCAGGCCTCCTCCCCTCCGCAGTGCAGAGCACACCCACAGGGCTCCTCCTCCTAACTCCAGCCCACACTTGTTCTTTGTTATATTTGGGGAACAGAATGAAACCAAGTAATGTTCTCAAGCCATGGCAAAGCAGCCCCCTATTCCTCTGAGGTCAGAACAGTGCGTGTTTCACAGTAGAGGCCAGAGGCTCTCGCTCTCCACCCGATCCTGGCAGCTTCAGGCACAGTCAGCTGCCCACTTCCATCTCCCTCCGCAAGGCAGGGCCTCACTCACGACCCACCTCTCTGAGGTCAAGTCCAACATTCCCCTGGGGCTCTGAGGATATCTAATGGGGTATCAACGACAATCCAGCTTCATGCTCCCTGTTGGGGAGGCCAAAACCAGGCCCCAAATGTATCCAGAATCCAGCTCAGCTGTCCTGTGGGTGTCCCCACTGCTACCCCAACCTCTTATCATAGAGGCTCTTCCCCCACACTTCAGGGCATGCGTCTGCCAGGCCTGGGGAGAAACCACTGACCTGGCCAGCAAACAGTCCACATACTCCAATTATGCACAGGATGTTGAACACAGCGGAGCCCACGATGGTGCCCACCCCGACGTCCCCGTGGGTGATGAACACCCCTGGAAAGGAAACACACAGGCCCTGGGCCTCAGACATGCACCCCAGCCTGCCCCTTCCTCAGTGTCCCCTTTCACAGGAAAGTGGGTTGTTTTACTATCAAACAGAGCATCTGGGGAGCAGAAGAGAATGGCAGAAGCTGTGGCAGAACCAGGGAGATGGAAATGCCACCGGGGACCAGCTACTCCAATCTTCCCTTTTCCTCTGAGCAGCTTTATTCAGATATAATTTGCCTGCTATAAAATTTACCCATTTAAATATACAATTCGGTAGTTTTGGTATATTCACAGAATCATGCAACCAAAACCACAATCTAATTTTAGATTATTTTTATCACCTTAAAAAGAACATTTTTATCACCCCTCAGCACCCTACTCCACCCCATGCCCCAAGAAACCACCCACCTACTTACTGTCTCTCCAGTTCTCCCATTTCACAGATGAGAAGTAAGGCTTAGAGCTGACAAATGCCCCCACTGCTCTGGGCACCAAACGGACTCTCTAGATCCTGTGTCTCAGGCTAGAGGGGATTTCTTACCAATAACAGAGGCAAACAGCTCTGGCGTTGAGCTTCCTGCAGCCATGAAGGTGGCTCCAGCCACATCTTCACTCAGATGAAGTCTCTGAAACAGAAGTGACCACAGACCCTCAGGGTGTGACGTGGGGGCCCTGGACATCACTGGATGCTCCACAGCCAAGGAGCATGCAGGAGAGCAGTGCTGCAACCAAAGCCAAACTCCTCTGCCCACAGCCTCTCACCCCGGGGACATGCTGTCTGCCTTCTGCCATCTGCCCTGCACCCTCCACCAGGCATTCCACTCAGAGCCCTTCCCCCTCCCCTACCTATCTCCTTTCTGTTTGTCCTCCAAGCCCCTGACCAAATAATGTCTCCCTGATGAAGTCTTCCTAGGCATCCATTCAGAGCCAGCCATTTCCCTCAGATATATGATGTGTTTTATCTGCTGTTACCGAAATGTGAATTTCACATGAGGGTTTGTGGTTCACAAGCTTTGCCTTCCCTCACCGGATGATGAGGGCAGCAGCTGGTCTTCCTGTCTTTGCATCCCTGGTGCCTAGTACAGGGTCTGGGACACAGTGGTGCTCCCCAGGCGCACACCAGTCTAGTGACCATCCCCTCCCATGCCAGTTTTGGGTACTGGGGGCCTCAGTGAGAATGTCAGCATTGTGGATCTGGAGGCCTCTGGCCCGCAGCTGGGCCTTGCATTCTGGAAGGCCTTCTCCACGGCAGGCCTGACATCGGGTGGCTCACAAAGACCCAGAGGTACTGGTTTCAGGGTTAAGCTGGCACGGGACAGGGTGGGAACTCATGGTCGAGGCCTGTTCTGCCTGTCCAGGCCGTATCTGGCCACAGAGCCCATCCTCTGATCTAAAGTGCAGTGCTGGAGGCTTTGGATGTTTGGAGACACCATGGAGACTGAGGGTCTGCCTGAAAACCAATCTGGAGGCGCCCACAGGGCAGGACTCACCTCCACCAGCCCCACCTCCCAAAGTATCCCTGAGCAGCCCTGGGCTCTGCGGCCACCGAGGAACCCACTGATGAGCTATCCTTGGAGGGGTCCTCAGAAGGGTCGGCACTCTGGGCTTGACAGAGTCTGGGGTGGGGGCACAGCAGTGTCTCCAGGACAGAAGCCGGCTACCTTAACCCTGACAAAAATCAGAGTTCCACAGAAGAGGCTCTGCTCCCAAAGGATCTCCAAAACTTTCAGCAGAACCCAAGCATGCTGCCTCCTGTCCTCCCTCCTCCCTGCCTTTGCCTGGGCCATTCCTTCCACCTGGAACGCCCTTCCCTTCCCTCTCTGCTTGCTAAACTCCTTCCCACTTCTGAAACCTGGACCCAATGCCACCTCCTCCACAAAGCCTTCCCAGATTTCTCCCCCAAGAGAGATGCTCCCCTTCTCCCTTTGGCTCCCCTGTCCTTTAACATCTCTCACTGAGCCCTTGACATCGGTCTTACCTACATGGCTACGACCATCACCCTTGCTCACTTCCATCCTTAGGGATACAGGTAACCCTACAGGGCGCATGGCACCTCCACTGTATGTGGCCCTACACTGTAGTCACCCACCTTTCACCTTCTACAGGCTCCCATCAACCCCATTGCTATGGCCTCCCCAAGCTCTCAGCCTAGTGGTGGGTCCTAGGTGTGTATTCAGTAAGGATCAGCTGCCTGCATCCTTCCCAAGGGCCCCCTCTGGAAGGCAGAAGCAGCAACACTTTTAATAACTGCCATCGCTGCAGCGCACACTCCACAGGGGCCCTGGGTGGACCCTCCTGCACAGTTACCCCAGTGGGCGTTTGCCGACTCTGCTCCTCACCCTCCTCCCCTGGCTCCGTTCCCTCACTGACAAGCGTCTGGATGGAGGCGAGCACAAGGCTCCATCTGAGGGGGTGTGAGGTAAGGGGAGGCCTTTGCATGTTTGCCAGGTCACTGCTTAGCAGGCCCAGGTCCAAAGCAGCCAGTCCCAACTCTGCAAGGACACTGAGCTCCCCAAGCTGGGCCCAGAAGGGGGAAAGTCACAGGGAAGCACCTGCCCCAAACAACCTGCCTTCCCAGCTGCAAATGTCACCATGAAGACATGGCCTCAAACACACGGGAGATTTCACAGGGATGAAGGCTGGCAAAGCCCTGGGCACTGTGCACACAGGAGGTGCTGCAAACGGAAGTCGATTTCCTTCCTTGACTAGAAGCCAAGAGTAAGGTGGAGCAAAGAGATACACTGGGATCTTGTATGTGAGGAGAAATAAGGAAAGAAAGTAAAAAACTAACAAAATAATTGTGGGGGAAAACACCAGCATGCAAAGGTGAGGACGGAAGGGAAATTCCTGCCACTGCAGCTTGGCATCCCCCTGGCGGGGGGGGGAGGGTGGTGGGCCCACCTGGCACCTGCCAATTGCAGCTGGTGACAGGCAATGCTCCACTGCATCTGGCAGGCCTGCCTGTGCTTTGTACTTAGCCAGGTTGAACACACATGCCAACAGCCTGCTGTGGACCCAGTGGTTCTGGGTGGTGATCTCACACCGGGAGCGTTTTCCTCTGCCAGGTTCTGGGAGAGGCTGCCATCCACCAAGGCTAATTGGAGGGTTTCTAGTGAGGCTTCACCATGGGGCAGACACTAAGTGCTCGGTGTGACAGCCGTTACCACCAGCATGCTCCCCGCACCAGCCCTGGCCTTCTCGGCCTGGCATTTATGTACCACATGTCTTCAAGGCTTCACCAAGGTGTCCCAAGTCCCTTCCACGTACCTCACAGATCTTCTCTAGAGATGGAACGAAGAAGTCATCGCACACTATGGCCAAGGCATAGAACATATACAGAGCCTGCAAACGAGAGAGGAGA